AGACTGGAATCTATTGCTAAATTAAACGGATTTCCTTGTGGATAATAAATGAGATCAAATGTTGATGTAGTGACGATGCCTATTATTGGCACATTCAAATGACGGCCAAAAGGAATAAAACAAGAAGGAATGACAAACTGTAACAGATTGTATTTGAGGGTTAGCTTTGACATTTCTGCTATTAATAAATTGGAAATTTTTTTCTTATTTTCCTTCTAATTTCTAAAACTTACCTCTAAGATGACAAGATCGTATGGTGGATCACGTGGTGAATTTTTTATAAGTTTTTGAAAGTATGGATGATCCAAAAGTTGGCACATTGACGTTATATGATTCATCAAATCCGTGTAATTGGATACAGGTTTTGATAATGGAAAATGACTGTACACATCGACTTGGTGACCTCTTGCTGCAAGGCCTTTCATCACTTCTTCNAATTTCTAAAACTTACCTCTAAGATGACAAGATCGTATGGTGGATCACGTGGTGAATTTTTTATAAGTTTTTGAAAGTATGGATGATCCAAAAGTCTGCACATTGATTTCATCCAATCCATAGCAACATTGACAATAAAACTCGTAGAGGCTTTGGAACTCACGACATCATCATAAGTGAAGTTATTAACCAGTTCTTGGACAGTCCCTTTCAGACTAAAATCCGTGTAATTGGATACAGGTTTTGATAATGGAAAATGACTGTACACATCGACTTGGTGACCTCTTGCTGCAAGGCCTTTCATCACTTCTTCACACATCATAAAGTGACTTTTAGCATGAAATGGAAATAAGCCAAGAATGCGTAGACCGTGTGCTGGATTAGGTGTAGTACTTAGATATATCAATATAGCAAATGTAGCATACACATAAAAGTACATCGAAGATGCCATTTTTTATCTGGAATGAATATATGAGTAATTATGTATTTGAAATGCATCGCTCATATGTATTTCACAGTAGTTAAAAAATGTATAAGTATTTTTTTTACCTTAAAAAATCCGCTGTTTTTCAAATATGGTTTTCCAAAAAAAAATGTATTCCAAGTTCGTAAATTTTTTTTTTTTTCGGATTAGAGGTTTTAAGTTTCACACACGACGAACTTTAAATAATGATGTTTGACGTTCTGAAGAACAATACACGTATTGACAATAAGTCATTATACGTATACTGATTATCTTACCGATAAAAATACTCATTGTGATATGAAAAAAATTGGAGGTAGAGTTTTGGAGGTAGAGTTAACAAAGTCTTTAGCTGTGCTGTTTTTGATAAAAACAGTCGTTAGTAGTCGTTACTATTGAAAACAGAAAGGTTTTTCAGAACTAGTTAAAACAAAATTTAATTACTCATAAAGCAAAAGTAATCTTTTTAACATTTTCATCATCTAAAACCTAAAGTAATTTCATCTCCAATATCGAAAAATCACGAAATCTATTATTTATGAATATCGAAATTGAAATTAATATTAGTTTCATACTGATATACTGTTTTGAAATATCTTGATTTCCCAACATTTTTTTGTACGTACTTTCTAATACAGATTATCACGGTAACTACATTATTTTCAAGATGAAAAAATCTCGTACAGTGTAATATTATCAATCTAATAAAAAGATGGTGTAAATAGTATACTGTACTATGAAAATTGCTTTTCCACCTCTACCTTAATTGTCAAGATTAGAGAAATACTACTTTTTCGATAGTCGTTATAGTTGATATGTACTCGTATAATTCTCGATAATATTGTTACCACGTGATCAAGTAAGTTGACTTTTTATTGGATTAGAAGCTTTCAGCAATTAATTTGGGTATAACGAATTAAATTACCTTATTTCAAAGTGATAAAGCATATTCTAATAATACTAAGTTGATTTATGCATCTCGTGCATTGTATAAGTGCTTGTAAATGCCTTATTTCATGGCTACATTTATTGTTATAGTTGTTAAAGAAACGAAATATAGAGATTTTGTCGGTGTGTATAACATCACTAATATTTTTAAATTCACTATCCGACTGATGGAATTGTACTAAGTAAATGGCTAATTGCGCTGATTCTATGCACCGAAATATTTTTAAGTAGAAATTTTTTCATGAAATAATAAAATCTTATCTCCTACAAATATTATTACGTAGGCCTACTCTGGACTAAGTTTCGCAGTTACTCAAAGTAACTTTCATTTTAAAGTTATTCTTATTTTCAGAAGTTCATCAAAAGTAATAAATATCTAACCAAATAGTGTTCGAGGTGTGTTCAAAAAGTATCGTGAATTTTGAATTTCCGCGGGTTACGTACATTCGATTTTTGATTTTTTTGTGGCGTTATGTTGGTACTCATGTTCCTCATTTATGCCGACAAGTACGGCCATTTTGAATGTTCAGTTAATTTTTGACAGCTGCTTTGCTTACACGATAGATATTCATGAATAAATAAATAATTTAAAAAAAAAAACAAAATTTGCGATACTTTTTGAACACACCTCGTATATCATAAAGTATTTTATTACTCGGACTGCAAGTGTCCTTTTTAAAACACAACAAAAAAAATGTTTATGTTTAACTAGGAATGATTTTATGCATGAAACAAAATTGCCCAAAACGTCAGCTCAGCAACGCTGATTAAACTCGTTTGATTAAATTCGTTTAGAAAACTGCAGGACTTGTAAATATTAACTCCCTTGTTTAACTCAAATAAATAGAAAACTGCAAGAGACGATAAAGTTGTTTTTTCCTTACATACCATTATACTAATGCATCTCCCAAAAAAACCCTCAAACATAAAAAAAATGTTTAGAACGGACAAATTCTCTTGTGGAAAAGCATCCAACTATTATTATCGTTATTTGATCTCTTAACAAAGTTCTTTTATTATATTCCCATTACAGTTTATTTTACACCAAAATTCACGAAAAATTTTAGCGTATCGTAATTTACGTATATTTACTCCTTTTTCACTTGTTTTAAACTCATCTGGTGGTACAAGTTCCGCCAAATGACTCTTAAAAGTAACCACAACTTGATTAGTAAATATATTACAACAGCGATCGCAGCAACGATGACTCCATAAACGTCTAACAGATAAATTTGCCACCAAGGCATATCGACCAGTGGAGACCGCAGTGCATCTTTGCCATGTCTGTGTATGTACTCCACCCAGTAGACAGCAGTATCGATTGGATTTACTAAATTATCCCGGAATTTTCGACTGACATTCTTCATGGATTCCCTACAATTAATCGATAATTTATTTATGACAATATCTTTTTATACATGTAAATCTAGAAAGATATGTATTGGCTGCTGATTACTTGTATATTGGGTTGCCTAAAACTTCCTTGAAAGCTTCCGTCAGTGATTGCTCACTTATTTCATGTTTATTTATTTTCACGGCGATATTTAGCTTAACGTACGCATCAATATTCATATTTTGATCGACAAACAAGGGAATGCCAATCATTGGTACTTCATAATAGATTGCTTCTTGTGTACTCATTAAACCACCGTGAGTCACGAAAAATTTTATGTTGTTGTGTTCTAAAATTTTGTTATTTTATAAATCATTATTTTTAAAAACCTTGTATATTATACTAAGTAATAAATAAGCTAATTTCAGTACTTAACACTTGTATTTGTTGCAGCCATGGCTTGATCATAACGTTCGAAGGAATTCCATTGGGTAATAACCCTTGATCTACGACTTTCAAAAGTATGCGAATCGGAGAAATATTTTCAAAAGCTTTGTAAAGTTCTTGAATTATAGATTCAGGGAAAGTTTCTAGTCTAAATGCTGATCCAAATGATCTACGACTTTCAAAAGTATGCGAATCGGAGAAATATTTTCAAAAGCTTTGTAAAGTTCTTGAATTATAGGTTCAGGGAAAGTTTCTAGTTTAACTATGGATCCAAAAGAGAAATAAACACATCCATGCTCACTTTCGTCCAACCACTTCTGTACGTCCTGTAAAAAAAATCTGAAGTAAAAGTTTTTTGTCTTTACAATACAATTTTTCATAACGAACCTGTGACAGAGTTTCGTTGGAATCCACAATATGCAAGCCCCCAACTGGTACAATGGCAGGAGTTAATGGCCTGATTCCGTTTATTGCTTTGTTTTGGTTCATTAGAATCAACGAAAAATCCTTCAGTATCTCAGGGCTACCAGGGTAGTCTGCTCCAAAAACTTTTCTTATACATTCACTGTGTAGCTTGTCACCCGAGAATTTATATACTATTTTAACTACATAGTATGTGATGAAGTTATGAAGCCGTTCCGTGAAAATCATAGGACTACTGTACTGTGAGAAAAGGCTTGGATCTGTTGCCAAATTTAGCGGATTTGCTAGTGGATCATGAACAAAGTCATAAGTTGGTAAAGTGATTATACCTATTATTGGAACATTTAAGTAACGCCCAAAAGGAACAAAGCATATTGGCACGGAAAACTGTAACACAAATTTGCACTTTGCAGCATGAACTTGGATCTTCCTACTATAAATGAAGGGTAGAAAATCCCTGCATTTACTTTCTAATTTTTGATACTTACGTCTAAAATTACGAGATCGTATGGTGGGTTTTGCGGTGGGTTTTTAATTAGATTTTGAAAGTATGGATGATCCAAAAGTTGGCACATTGACGTTATATGATTCATCAATCTATTCATGAGGAACCCGATCGAGGCTTTGTTGCTAACTACGTTATCATGTGTGAAATTGTTTACCAGATCTTGGACAGTTCCTTTCAGACTAAAATCCGTGTAATTGGATACAGGTTTTGATAATGGAAAATGACTGTACACATCGACTTGGTGACCTCTTGCTGCAAGGCCTTTCATCACTTCTTCACACATGATAAAGTGACTTTTAGCATGAAATGGAAATAAGCCAAGAATGCGTAGACCATGGGCTGAATTAGGTGTAGCGCTTAAAAATATCAACGTAGCAAACGTAGCATATACATAAAAGTTTGTTGAAGATGCCATTTTTTATCTGAAATAAATAACGCAAAGTAATTATATATTTGAAGTACATCGCTTGTAATAGATGTCTTTTACAGTAGTTCTAAAATGTTCAAGTATCTTTCTAACCTTATAAAATTTGCTAGTTTTTAAATATAGTTTTCTAAAAAAAGATTGATTTCAAGTTCACCAACTTTTTGTACTGTAACGCTCTTGTTTGATAACTGTTTGAGTCTTGGTAAATAACTTGGACAAACTGAATTTTGGTTAGAATTAAAAGTTTTAAGTTTCACACACAACGAACATTAAATAAAGATACTCGACGTTTTGAGGAGTAGTACGCATATTATCAATAAATGATAGTATACTCGTTATCTTACATACATGTTTTATGTATTACTATTAAATACTCATTGGAATATGAAAAAAATTGATTTTAGAGGTAAAGTTAATAAAGACTTTAACTGTACTATTTTCGATAAGTACAATCGTTAGTAGTCCTTGCTAGTAAAAGCAGAAAGATTTTTTAAAACCAATTAAAATAAAAACAGACTGCTTTAAATAATGCAAAAGTAATTTTTTTTTTAATTTTCTCATCTAAAACCTATAGTGATTTTCATTTCACTTCTAGTATCAAAAAATGACAAATTCTATCACTTTCGAATTTGGAAATTGAAATGATAATAGTTTTATACTGATGTACTATACTTAATTATCCTGATTTCCCAACATTTTTTTTCGTATATTCTGAATGAAGATTGCCATGATAACTACATTATTTTCAAAATGAGAAAACTTTCAACAGGCTAATTTTATAAATCTGATTAAAAGCTGGTATATACGGTAAAGTGGATTATAAAGATTTTGTGCCACCTATACTTTAAACATCAAAAGTAGAAAAATACTGCTTTTTCCATGTCCATTTAAGTTATTATGTACTAATTCAATTGAATGAGTATAATGATATTGTTACTGTATATAATCAAGTTAGCCAATCTTTTATTGGATTAGAAGCTTTTTGCAATTAACTTGGGTATAAAAAATAAACTTTACCTCATTTCAAAGTTATAAAGCATCTTGTAATTCGATTACGTTGACTTATACATCTCGTGCAGTGCATGGAAATGCTTAATCTCATGGCTTCATTTGCTGTTATAGCTGCTAAAGAAACAAAACATCGAGATTTCGTTGGTGTATAGAACATTATTAATATTTTTAAATTAGCTATTCAACTGATAGAACAGTACCATATAAATGACTAATTTCCCTGATTTTATGCACTAGAAAAAACTTGTGGATATTAACCTTCTTGTAAACTCCTGGTCTTCTTATTACTGGTTTAGTTATTTCATGTAATAATTTTTTCATGAAATAATAAAATTTTATCTCCAAGAAATATTATTATGTGGGTGTACTATGGACTAAGTTCCACAGTTACTCAAAGTAATTTTCATTTTAAAGTTATTCTTATTTTCAGAATTTTATCAAAAGTAATAAATATCTCATCAAATAGTATTTATCACAAAGTATTTTACTCAGATTGCAAGTGTCCCTTTCAACATAACAAAAAAAATTGCTAATATTTAACCAGCAATGATTTTACGTATGAAAGGAAATCACCCAGTCAGTCAGTTCAGCAAAGTTGATTAACTATTCTTTTGTAAAAAAAAATTGTAACTCGTTCAAAAAACTGCAGAAGACAAAAAGTAGTTTTTTCCTTATATACCTTTATTTTAATGCACCTCCTAAAACACCCTCAAACTCTTAAAATGGAAAAATTCTCTTTTTGAAAAGGATGCATTCAATTATTATTATAGTTATATGATCAGTTAACAAAGATATTTTATCATATTCCCATTACAGTTTATTTTAGATTTTAATTTCTAAAAAAATAATAGTGTACCATAATTTACGTACGCTTAATCCTTTTTTACTAGTTTTAAACTCATTTGGCGGTACACTTTCCGCCACATGACTCTTAAGAGTAAACACAACTTGATTAGTAAATATATTACAACAGCGATCGCAGCAACGATGACTCCATAAACGTCTAACAGATAAATTTGCCACCAAGGCATATCGACCAGTGGAGACCGCAGTGCATCTTTGCCATGTCTGTGTATGTACTCCACCCAGTAGACAGCAGTATCGATTGGATTTACTAAATTATCCCGGAATTTTCGACTGACATTCTTCATGGATTCCCTACAATTAATCGATAATTTATTTATGACAATATCTTTTTATACATGTAAATCTAGAAAGATATGTATTGGCTGCTGATTACTTGTATATTGGGTTGCCTAAAACTTCCTTGAAAGCTTCCGTCAGTGATTGCTCACTTATTTCATGTTTGTTTATTCCAACAGCAATGTTTAGTTTGACATATCCGTCAATATTCATATATTGATCAGCAAATAGTGGAATGCCAATCATTGGTACTTCATAATAGATTGCTTCTTGTGTACTCATTAAACCACCGTGAGTCACGAAAAGTTTCACGTTTTTATGTTCTAAAAATTTTGTTATTTTACGAATGATTTATTTTAAAGAACCGTTGTTTTTATCAAATAATAAATAAATGAACTTCAATACTTAAAACTTTTATTTGCTGCAGCCATGGTTTAATCATGACGTTTGAAGGGATACCATCTGGTAGCAATTTGGAATTCACAACTTTTAGTAGAATACGAGTTGGTGCAATATTTTTGAAGGCTCTGTAGAGTTCTTGAATCAAGGGTAAAGGAAAAGTTTCTAGCAGTACCATCGATCCAAAAGAAAAATATACACATCCATGCTCACTTTCGTCCAACCACTTTTGTACGTCCTGTATATAAAACAAATCTGAAATAAAAGTTTTTTGTCTTTACAATACAATTTTTTCATGACAAACCTGTGACAGAGTTTCGTTGGAATCCACAATATGCAAGCCACCAACTGGTACAATAGTAGGAGTTAGTGGTCTTATACCGTTTATTGCTTTGTTTTGGTTTACTAGAATGAACGAAAAATCTTTAAGTATCTCAGGGCTGCCGGGGTAGTCTGGCCCAAAAACTTTTTTTATGCATTCGTTCTGTAGCTTCTCTCCTGAGAATCTGTAAATTATTATGGATACATGATGTGCAATATAGTTTTCGAGTCGTTCTCTGAAACTCATGGGAGTACTATAAGGTGAGAAGAGACTGGAATCTATTGCTAAATTAAACGGATTTCCTTGTGGATAATAAATGAGATCAAATGTTGATGTAGTGACGATGCCTATTATTGGCACATTCAAATGACGGCCAAAAGGAATAAAACAAGAAGGAATGACAAACTGTAACAGATTGTATTTGAGGGTTAGCTTTGACATTTCTGCTATTAATAAATTGGAAATTTTTTTCTTATTTTCCTTCTAATTTCTAAAACTTACCTCTAAGATGACAAGATCGTATGGTGGATCACGTGGTGAATTTTTTATAAGTTTTTGAAAGTATGGATGATCCAAAAGTCTGCACATTGATTTCATCCAATCCATAGCAACATTGACAATAAAACTCGTAGAGGCTTTGGAACTCACGACATCATCATAAGTGAAGTTATTAACCAGTTCTTGGACAGTCCCTTTCAGACTAAAATCCGTGTAATTGGATACAGGTTTTGATAATGGAAAATGACTGTACACATCGACTTGGTGACCTCTTGCTGCAAGGCCTTTCATCACTTCTTCACACATCATAAAGTGACTTTTAGCATGAAATGGAAATAAGCCAAGAATGCGTAGACCGTGTGCTGGATTAGGTGTAGTACTTAGATATATCAATATAGCAAATGTAGCATACACATAAAAGTACATCGAAGATGCCATTTTTTATCTGGAATGAATATATGAGTAATTATGTATTTGAAATGCATCGCTCATATGTATTTCACAGTAGTTAAAAAATGTATAAGTATTTTTTTTACCTTAAAAAATCCGCTGTTTTTCAAATATGGTTTTCCAAAAAAAAATGTATTCCAAGTTCGTAAATTTTTTTTTTTTTCGGATTAGAGGTTTTAAGTTTCACACACGACGAACTTTAAATAATGATGTTTGACGTTCTGAAGAACAATACACGTATTGACAATAAGTCATTATACGTATACTGATTATCTTACCGATAAAAATACTCATTGTGATATGAAAAAAATTGGAGGTAGAGTTTTGGAGGTAGAGTTAACAAAGTCTTTAGCTGTGCTGTTTTTGATAAAAACAGTCGTTAGTAGTCGTTACTATTGAAAACAGAAAGGTTTTTCAGAACTAGTTAAAACAAAATTTAATTACTCATAAAGCAAAAGTAATCTTTTTAACATTTTCATCATCTAAAACCTAAAGTAATTTCATCTCCAATATCGAAAAATCACGAAATCTATTATTTATGAATATCGAAATTGAAATTAATATTAGTTTCATACTGATATACTGTTTTGAAATATCTTGATTTCCCAACATTTTTTTGTACGTACTTTCTAATACAGATTATCACGGTAACTACATTATTTTCAAGATGAAAAAATCTCGTACAGTGTAATATTATCAATCTAATAAAAAGATGGTGTAAATAGTATACTGTACTATGAAAATTGCTTTTCCACCTNTATTTTTATTAAAAAAAAAAAAAATCTCAATATTCAAATGGGTATGTTATAATAATAATGATTATTATTATTATTATAATCTATCGACGAAATCGTGTTGTGCGCGAGACAATTTTTTTCTCCCAAGGTACTACAGCCACGTGCCTTGCGAACGAGATACGTTAGTTATACAATGATGAAATACGGTGTGGTATATAATATACCAAGTTTACATAAAGAGAACGAGTTTTTTGTGTCCAGCGACTGTTTATGCAAAAATATGTGTTATTGTTAATTGTATGCATGCGCATATGTGAGTCCTAAACAAAAGAAATACCGAATATGTGTATTTTTGTATTAAAAAAAAAAAAAAAAAAAATCGGCAATTAAACGGTTTCTAACGCTAAAAATACTTGGCTCTCCGAATGCATAACACGATGAGTTTCACTTGCAGTATTGAGGCTGATAGTGTCGGTGACTCTCTACGCAGCAGCATTGCATAGTTTTGATGTCATTCCTCACATTAGCGTACGAAGCACGAGTCACTTGCCGTTAGCTAATACTGTTTCAAAATTTACCCTCCATAATTTATAGAGATAACTTTATTCTTCAATTAAAAAAAACTTTTTCTCATTGATAACACATCCCATTAAAAATACTAGTTGTAATAGTGCACCTTGTTACAAAAATTTTTTGCTAAATTCAGTCTGCAGGATTATATTATGAAATTTCATAGACTGTACTATTATTACTATATCTTAACTGTAGTTGTCGATGAGGGTTTAAAGCTAACAAATTTTAATTTTGTCACATCTCATAGCAAGTAAAGTCTTTATACCCTCAGATGCAACA